CCTATGGGTGTTAAGTGACTATCTAGTAAGAAGTGATAAGTGTATAATTCTGATGAGCTATGGTGCCTCTTTCAAAATTGTGAATTTCATGGCCTCTGGTTTAAAACACAAACCAAATGCAATTGTTGGAAAGTTGTTACACGAATCTCAGGTGACCTATAGGCCCGTTGGCCTCTTGTTAGAATATTGGCCAGAACTCAAGAACCCTTAGCCTTGGCCAATCAGTGTCAAATTTGGCACGGGGTATCCTTGGCCTCAGCGCTACCATTTATACTAAAATAAGGATTGGGACCCTTAAACAAGGGGAGATAAACAGGAAAACAAAACCAAAAGTACTGGTTGCCAAAAAATCTTCTCCAGAACCACCGGGTAGTTTTTTTTTTACCAAACTTACATACAAGGATCAGGATATGTGGAAGATAAAAATTTGCACGGGGAATTACCCTGTGGCAAAAGAAGTGGTCTCAAAGTCACTTCAAAGTTGAACTAAACTTACAATTAATACAAACGTTTATATTTTGCTTACTTATACTATAAGGACTAGGGTCATCAAATCTTGTAAGTTGATGCATCTTAGGACTTCACATCATGTTAACTCAAAAGTAGGTCACAGTGACCTACTTTTCAAATTTTGCGGGCATTTGTTTCCAAATTGATTTGAAGGCATATTTTGGAGACTTTAAGGCCTATGATCATCAAACTTTGTCTTCGAGCAACGTCAATTTAAATGTAGGTCATCGTGACCTACTTTTTGAACTTTATGACTAATCTTTCTAAAACATTTATTCCCATTATTTGAGACACCGAGAGGTTTAGAATCATCAAAACTTGTTAGTTGATGCATCTTTGGACCTTAAAACCTATTTATTAAAAAGTTAGTCACTGTGACCTACTTTTTAAATTTTGCAGGGATTTGTTTTCCAGTTGTTTGAAAGGCATATTTTGATTACCATCAGACCTACGATCATCAAACTTGGTCAGTAGATGCATCTTTCGATGTCGACCAAAATGTAGGTAACGATGACCTACTTTCGACATTCTATGGCTATATTTAAGTATCTTTGGTATTTACTGGCTTTAAATCAACAAATCTTGTAAGTATTAGTTGATGCATCTTGGGTTTTCGGAGAGTGGCAACCAAAAAGTAGGTCACAGTGACCTACTTTTGACATTTTACGGCTTTAATAAAGTATCTCCGGTACTTTTTGGCTTAGAAACATTAAACTTTGTCAGTTAATGCATCTTGGGTTTTTGGAAAGTGACGACCAAACATTAGGTCATGGTGACCTACTTTTGCGGTTTTGTGGCTACATATAAGTATCTCGGATACTTATTGACGTAAAATCATCAAACTTTGTCCGTTGATGCATCTTGGGTTTTTGGAGATTGCCGACCAAAAAGTAGGTCATGGTGACCTACTTTCGACATTTATGACTATATTTAAGTATCTCAGGCTCTTATTGGCTTAGAGAAATAATCAAACTTTGTCAGTTGTGGCATCTTGGACTTTCGGAGAATGTCGATCAAAAAGTAGGTCGCGGTGACCTACTTTTGAATATCTCAGGTACTTATTAGCTTAGAATCATCCAATTTTTCAATTTAGGCATCTTGGGTTTTCAGAGAACATCGACCAAAAAGTAGGTCACGGTGAACTACTTTTGGTATTTTATGGCTATAATTAATTATATCTGGTTTTGATTGGCTCGAAATCATCAAATTTTGTCAGTTGTGTCATCTTAGGGTAACCATGGTAACATGAAAACTAAATATGAATACCAAGTTGTTCTCTGTACTAAATATTATAACTATATATGGACTTTCAAACCAGTGTATTAATTTTTACCCAACTGTTCGCAAAACTTTATACCAGGCTTTTCAAAGGAGCCTAAAATCTTCAATTTTCCCCAAGAAAAATCCTATCTATAAACGAGGGATATTTTTTCTATGGGGTCAAGTTACTGAATTACTAAAAAATTTCTAAAGCACTGTAAAATGATTTATTTTGGCAAAAAGGTAAAGTCCTGATAATAGTTTGTTCCATTAAAGACATTTAATAAGTCAAAAAGGGTCATTTTCCATTACAATTTTAGCAATTTTTAGGCCATAAAAATGTATGTTGGTTGCCATGGTAACCATGGACCACAGCAACAATTTTATTATGAATTTTAGTTACATACATTAAACTAGGAATGTATGCCAAGTTTCATATAAATCCAAGACCATGCGTGCCACACTCCCTATATAAGAGTTTAAATGCTTACAGAGAATGGCTTTTAATTACACTAAGAGAGATGTTCAAAAAGTTCGAAGACAAATGCGGCAAAATTATTGCTATGAAATAAATGCTTACACAATTGTTAAGGAACATACAGCAACAAAAGTTAGAAAAATGTTGAAAATGTCAGCTTGATACCTTAAATATTAACCAAATTATCATATATAAAAAGACGTTATTTGTTCACCCGGTGCAGTCGCCATATAGTTGAATGACGTCATTGCTTCTCAATGACCACATTCTCTAACTCATACACTTATCTTGATGAGGTTCTTTGGAGTAAAGTAAAGATTCAAACTCCTCTTGTTTATATAAATTAAAATGTCAGGAATAGCTAATTTCAATGCATATTACATGTATAATGTAAATAGATCTGTACGTGGTGAAGATTTAACTTAATTATAACAGCATATTTGCTTGTCGGCGTTCGACATCTATCACACATTATCAACGTCACCTTTTTACGTGACAAACCTTGAACACCCTTACTACAAATCGACATTAACTCTTCATTTCTCATATCTCTAATCTTTTTCTATATCTAATAAGAAGTAATTTGTATGCATTTTATTTTTCAATGACCCATTTAGATATTTCCTAGATAGGTCTATGCCAGTTTTTCTATTGGGTGAAACTTAATAGCATGTTTGGAAAAAAAAACCCATCCCCCTTTCTGTCGTCATTACAATTCATAAATTGTTTGAAAATTTCATATAAAAATTACTATTAAATTTCATATAACTTACAGAATGGGGCTAAAATTGCAAATTTTACGGTATAATATTGTAAAACCGCATGAGTGAATTAACGGCATTTTTGTATGACATTTGCTCATATATATAAAATATAGTTTTTTTTCCTCAGTTACACTTGTTCAAAAAAGTGTAATTTTCGAGGTTTTACCGCCTGGACATACCACTGCTTAAAAAAAAACATCAACGATTTATTTAAAAAAGATAATTAATTATGTATAGTTTATTTTATAAATAAGATGATGCAAATTAAACGTTAAATAATTCATTGATGTATCGTAAGCGGATTTAATTATAAGCGCTAGATGTAATGAACATAAGTAAACGAAGAAAGAAAATAAAAATCTCATTTTACTCAGTAACTGTCAAAACATTTTTTAACATGTACTCCTGTTTAAATAAGTATATATTAAATACAAAAGTAAGTTAAATGGGTACAGTCCACTAATTGTTTTCCCATAGGCGACAATGTTAACGTTTCTTTTCACAGCGATGTCCCTAATTTTCGTTCGGTAGTGAATGACCCCTCAAATCAAAGCACATCAACTTGTCCTTCCTTGGTTAAAATCTCGAGGTGGCATGCCAGATTCGTTTTCCGGCAAAATGCATCTGTCTGCGGGAACCTCTAAAAATGAAAGTGAAAGTAGGGGAATTTCAGAATTCTCACTGGCGTTATAATACACAAAATAATTCGGCTGATCTTCTTGATAAATTACATTTTCAAAGCTTTTTTGGTAGGAAAGATACTCCTTATCAACAAGTGTGAGGCTCAGTTCAGTACACCTGCCCAATTTTTTTTATGCAAGTCTGCAATTTAAGGAACTTGTAATTTTTTCTGCACTACTTTCTTCTCCTACCGATTCTAAAAATAATTAGTGGGATGTACCCAATATGAAAAAGCATTTTTTTGATTTTACAATATTTCACACTGTTTGTCAATCTAGAGCATAAGTAGAGACATCATGCCAAGTTTCATGAAAATTCAACGATTAATTAAGATTTTACAGCATTTACAGTTCTATGTGTAATATCCTTAAAAAACGCTCCAATCTAGCCAAAACTGCACCCAAGTTTTGAGTCAAATTTTAGCCTATTAACACATTTATACTATTCTTAATCACCTTCATATCTTTAAATACACATAGTCAAATCATAATCAAGCACTTAATTGGGTCAATTTCACTTATTTAAAAAAATTAATGTATTTCCGCACAAAATATGACCACTTTTCACCCTCTAATCCATAGTTTCTCCAGAAATGACAAAAAAAAAATGAAGATCACAAATACCCCGAAAGTAGTAAAATAAAAAAGTACTGATTATGTCCTGTCCATTGAAGTATCATTCATGAAATTTGGACTATGAATGAAAAAGTTATAAGCCTTTATAATCCTATATAGAATCATTTGTTTCAAAGCAATTTTTATACCAATGCAAATTTACTCATCTATGACGTCACAATGACATCATAATAATGGATAGCTCAATACATGTGTATCATTACTTTTCCCGTACTTTTCATTTAAGACAAAATCAGTGCTTATATACTATTATTTACTTTAAAAAATAAAAATATGTGGTTTTGCAGATTAAATAAATAGTTCACTAAAGTTGTTTTGTTTCCACGGTAACCATTTTGTAATTTGTAGGAAAATGAGACAAAATTTTGAATTTCCTGACAAATCGCATAATTTTGACTGTCAAATATTCATGGAATTCAATTCTTATATCCATGTAATCTTAATAATGCATAATTTACAAAAGATGTAGATCTAATTAATTTGAAAATCTTAAATAAGAAAAGAAAATCTATATGAGCTGCAAAATGTATATAGCAGTGCATGTACAGATTAGTTATAGCTAAATACTTTCACATTCTGATCACCTATTCAATATGTAAATTTCCTCACCCCCACCCCATCCCCCCACTTCAATGAAAACTTTTTTTTAGAAAACTTAAAACTTACATATTTTGCCGACTGTCACATTTTGCTGGTTCTTTTTCAAGATGTATTCCAATTGGTGTGCATTTGCTGGCCAATAGTTTTAAACACCATCTGCATGGACCTCATGTTTTTCCTGTACCAATCACCATGAACCTAAAAAAAAAAATCAATACAATAAATGGAACAATATCACATTTGCAGACAAACAGACACACAGACATTCAACACGTACAATTTTACCATATTCCTTCTATGCCCATTATTTGAAATTAATTAATTTAAAAAATGATTAATTTGCTCCCACCTGAAATCACACTGTTTACATTGGTAATTAAGTTAATTCAGCAGAATAGGTAAAAATCATGTTTTACTGACAATAATTGAACATTCAACAAATACATGTAATGCAATTGCTAAAAAAATATGAGAAAAATCAGTTAATGTGCATGTTCACACACATCGTTTAACTCCCAGACAACTGTACCCAGCTTGACCGCGCAATTGATCTGAAATGATGTATGTCATGTATGTGACGTGCCGATCATCGAATGTTCCAAAAACATTAAATTGTTATTTACAAATATTGTACTACGGTATACCTCTTACCTCCTGTGTAAAATACAAATGCCCATCACCTATACACTGCTTAACACTGCCCTGAACAGTTTTGATAACTTTCTGCTAAGTCTACTTTCACTTCGACCTTGACCCTGATTGAATACCGATCCCGAACTCATTTGTGAATTTTTGTGTATTGAAAATAAACCACAGTGGAGCATGTACTTGTACATAATTGCTTCTTAATTAAATTATACATTTACGATTCTGAATAAACAAATTATGTAAATCGATACATTTAATCTACATGATACATGTGTAAACAATGGGTGATACATGTAGACTGTTCCGGGGGGTGGGGGGGGGGGGCTAGACACTTTATTTATGAATCAATTTGTTTAAAAATGTGTATCAACAATATAAGAATTGTTTTTTTCATAAATTTGAACAATTGAAAATAATAGAAAACAACAACTCTGAAATAAATTCAAGATTTATGACATCTTTCACTTACTTACAGGCTTCCTAATATGGGTACAGTCCACTAATTGTTTTCCCATAGGCGACAATGTTAACGTTTCTTTTCACAGCGATGTCCCTAATTTTCGTTCGGTAGTGAGTGACCCCTCAAATCAAAGCACATCAACTTGTCCTTCCTTGGTTAAAATCTCGAGGTGGCATGCCAGATTCGTTTTCCGGCAAAATGCATCTGTCTGCGGGAACCTCTAAAAATGAAAGTGAAAGTAGGGGAATTTCAGAATTCTCACTGGCGTTATAATACACAAAATAATTCCTGATCTTCTTGATAAATTACATTTTCAAAGCTTTTTTGGTAGGAAAGATACTCCTTATCAACAAGTGTGAGGCTCAGTTCAGTACACCTGCCCAATTTTTTTTATGCAAGTCTGCAATTTAAGGAACTTGTAATTTTTTCTGCACTACTTTCTTCTCCTACCGATTCTAAAAATAATTAGTGGGATGTACCCAATATGAAAAAGCATTTTTTTGATTTTACAATATTTCACACTGTTTGTCAATCTAGAGCATAAGTAGAGACATCATGCCAAGTTTCATGAAAATTCAACGATTAATTAAGATTTTACAGCATTTACAGTTCTATGTGTAATATCCTTAAAAAACGCTCCAATCTAGCCAAAACTGCACCCAAGTTTTGAGTCAAATTTTAGCCTATTAACACATTTATACTATTCTTAATCACCTTCATATCTTTAAATACACATAGTCAAATCATAATCAAGCACTTAATTGGGTCAATTTCACTTATTTAAAAAAATTAATGTATTTCCGCACAAAATATGACCACTTTTCACCCTCTAATCCATAGTTTCTCCAGAAATGACAAAAAAAAAATGAAGATCACAAATACCCCGAAAGTAGTAAAATAAAAAAGTACTGATTATGTCCTGTCCATTGAAGTATCATTCATGAAATTTGGACTATGAATGAAAAAGTTATAAGCCTTTATAATCCTATATAGAATCATTTGTTTCAAAGCAATTTTTATACCAATGCAAATTTACTCATCTATGACGTCACAATGACATCATAATAATGGATAGCTCAATACATGTGTATCATTACTTTTCCCGTACTTTTCATTTAAGACAAAATCAGTGCTTATATACTATTATTTACTTTAAAAAATAAAAATATGTGGTTTTGCAGATTAAATAAATAGTTCACTAAAGTTGTTTTGTTTCCACGGTAACCATTTTGTAATTTGTAGGAAAATGAGACAAAATTTTGAATTTCCTGACAAATCGCATAATTTTGACTGTCAAATATTCATGAAATTCAATTCTTATATCCATGTAATCTTAATAATGCATAATTTACAAAAGATGTAGATCTAATTAATTTGAAAATCTTAAATAAGAAAAGAAAATCTATATGAGCTGCAAAATGTATATAGCAGTGCATGTACAGATTAGTTATAGCTAAATACTTTCACATTCTGATCACCTATTCAATATGTAAATTTCCTCACCCCCACCCCATCCCCCCACTTCAATGAAAACTTTTTTTTAGAAAACTTAAAACTTACATATTTTGCCGACTGTCACATTTTGCTGGTTCTTTTTCAAGATGTATTCCAATTGGTGTGCATTTGCTGGCCAATAGTTTTAAACACCATCTGCATGGACCTCATGTTTTTCCTGTACCAATCACCATGAACCTAAAAAAAAAATCAATACAATAAATGGAACAATATCACATTTGCAGACAAACAGACACACAGACATTCAACACGTACAATTTTACCATATTCCTTCTATGCCCATTATTTGAAATTAATTAATTTAAAAAATGATTAATTTGCTCCCACCTGAAATCACACTGTTTACATTGGTAATTAAGTTAATTCAGCAGAATAGGTAAAAATCATGTTTTACTGACAATAATTGAACATTCAACAAATACATGTAATGCAATTGCTAAAAAAATATGAGAAAAATCAGTTAATGTGCATGTTCACACACATCGTTTAACTCCCAGACAACTGTACCCAGCTTGACCGCGCAATTGATCTGAAATGATGTATGTCATGTATGTGACGTGCCGATCATCGAATGTTCCAAAAACATTAAATTGTTATTTACAAATATTGTACTACGGTATACCTCTTACCTCCTGTGTAAAATACAAATGCCCATCACCTATACACTGCTTAACACTGCCCTGAACAGTTTTGATAACTTTCTGCTAAGTCTACTTTCACTTCGACCTTGACCCTGATTGAATACCGATCCCGAACTCATTTGTGAATTTTTGTGTATTGAAAATAAACCACAGTGGAGCATGTACTTGTACATAATTGCTTCTTAATTAAATTATACATTTACGATTCTGAATAAACAAATTATGTAAATCGATACATTTAATCTACATGATACATGTGTAAACAATGGGTGATACATGTAGACTGTTCCGGGGGGTGGGGGGGGGGGGCTAGACACTTTATTTATGAATCAATTTGTTTAAAAATGTGTATCAACAATATAAGAATTGTTTTTTTCATAAATTTGAACAATTGAAAATAATAGAAAACAACAACTCTGAAATAAATTCAAGATTTATGACATCTTTCACTTACTTACAGGCTTCCTAATATGGGTACAGTCCACTAATTGTTTTCCCATAGGCGACAATGTTAACGTTTCTTTTCACAGCGATGTCCCTAATTTTCGTTCGGTAGTGAGTGACCCCTCAAATCAAAGCACATCAACTTGTCCTTCCTTGGTTAAAATCTCGAGGTGGCATGCCAGATTCGTTTTCCGGCAAAATGCATCTGTCTGCGGGAACCTCTAAAAATGAAAGTGAAAGTAGGGGAATTTCAGAATTCTCACTGGCGTTATAATACACAAAATAATTCGGCTGATCTTCTTGATAAATTACATTTTCAAAGCTTTTTTGGTAGGAAAGATACTCCTTATCAACAAGTGTGAGGCTCAGTTCAGTACACCTGCCCAATTTTTTTTATGCAAGTCTGCAATTTAAGGAACTTGTAATTTTTTCTGCACTACTTTCTTCTCCTACCGATTCTAAAAATAATTAGTGGGATGTACCCAATATGAAAAAGCATTTTTTTGATTTTACAATATTTCACACTGTTTGTCAATCTAGAGCATAAGTAGAGACATCATGCCAAGTTTCATGAAAATTCAACGATTAATTAAGATTTTACAGCATTTACAGTTCTATGTGTAATATCCTTAAAAAACTAGCCAAAACTGCACCCAAATCAAATAGCCAAAACTGCACCCAAGTTTTGAGTCAAATTTTAGCCTATTAACACATTTATACTATTCTTAATCACCTTCATATCTTTAAATACACATAGTCAAATCATAATCAAGCACTTAATTGGGTCAATTTCACTTATTTAAAAAAATTAATGTATTTCCGCACAAAATATGACCACTTTTCACCCTCTAATCCATAGTTTCTCCAGAAATGACAAAAAAAAAAATGAAGATCACAAATACCCCGAAAGTAGTAAAATAAAAAAGTACTGATTATGTCCTGTCCATTGAAGTATCATTCATGAAATTTGGACTATGAATGAAAAAGTTATAAGCCTTTATAATCCTATATAGAATCATTTGTTTCAAAGCAATTTTTATACCAATGCAAATTTACTCATCTATGACGTCACAATGACATCATAATAATGGATAGCTCAATACATGTGTATCATTACTTTTCCCGTACTTTTCATTTAAGACAAAATCAGTGCTTATATACTATTATTTACTTTAAAAAATAAAAATATGTGGTTTTGCAGATTAAATAAATAGTTCACTAAAGTTGTTTTGTTTCCACGGTAACCATTTTGTAATTTGTAGGAAAATGAGACAAAATTTTGAATTTCCTGACAAATCGCATAATTTTGACTGTCAAATATTCATGGAATTCAATTCTTATATCCATGTAATCTTAATAATGCATAATTTACAAAAGATGTAGATCTAATTAATTTGAAAATCTTAAATAAGAAAAGAAAATCTATATGAGCTGCAAAATGTATATAGCAGTGCATGTACAGATTAGTTATAGCTAAATACTTTCACATTCTGATCACCTATTCAATATGTAAATTTCCTCACCCCCACCCCATCCCCCCACTTCAATGAAAACTTTTTTTTAGAAAACTTAAAACTTACATATTTTGCCGACTGTCACATTTTGATGGTTCTTTTTCAAGATGTATTCCAATTGGTGTGCATTTGCTGGCCAATAGTTTTAAACACCATCTGCATGGACCTCATGTTTTTCCTGTACCAATCACCATGAACCTAAAAAAAAAAATCAATACAATAAATGGAACAATATCACATTTGCAGACAAACAGACACACAGACATTCAACACGTACAATTTTACCATATTCCTTCTATGCCCATTATTTGAAATTAATTAATTTAAAAAATGATTAATTTGCTCCCACCTGAAATCACACTGTTTACATTGGTAATTAAGTTAATTCAGCAGAATAGGTAAAAATCATGTTTTACTGACAATAATTGAACATTCAACAAATACATGTAATGCAATTGCTAAAAAAATATGAGAAAAATCAGTTAATGTGCATGTTCACACACATCGTTTAACTCCCAGACAACTGTACCCAGCTTGACCGCGCAATTGATCTGAAATGATGTATGTCATGTATGTGACGTGCCGATCATCGAATGTTCCAAAAACATTAAATTGTTATTTACAAATATTGTACTACGGTATACCTCTTACCTCCTGTGTAAAATAAACAAATGCCCATCACCTATACACTGCTTAACACTGCCCTGAACAGTTTTGATAACTTTCTGCTAAGTCTACTTTCACTTCGACCTTGACCCTGATTGAATACCGATCCCGAACTCATTTGTGAATTTTTGTGTATTGAAAATAAACCACAGTGGAGCATGTACTTGTACATAATTGCTTCTTAATTAAATTATACATTTACGATTCTGAATAAACAAATTATGTAAATCGATACATTTAATCTACATGATACATGTGTAAACAATGGGTGATACATGTAGACTGTTCCGGGGGGTGGGGGGGGGGGGGGGGGGCTAGACACTTTATTTATGAATCAATTTGTTTAAAAATGTGTATCAACAATATAAGAATTGTTTTTTTCATAAATTTGAACAATTGAAAATAATAGAAAACAACAACTCTGAAATAAATTCAAGATTTATGACATCTTTCACTTACTTACAGGCTTCCTAATATGGGTACAGTCCACTAATTGTTTTCCCATAGGCGACAATGTTAACGTTTCTTCCCACAGCGATGTCCCTAATTTTCGTTCGGTAGTGAGTGACCCCTCAAATCAAAGCACATCAACTTGTCTTTCCTTGGTTAAAATCTCGAGGTGGCATGTCAGATTCGTTTTCCGGCAAAATGCGTCTGTCTGCGGGAACCTCTAAAAATGAAAGTGAAAGTAGGGGAATTTCAGAATTCTCACTGGCGTTATAATACACAAAATAATTCGGCTGATCTTCTTGATAAATTACATTTTCAAAGCTTTTTTGGTAGGAAAGATACTCCTTATCAACAAGTGTGAGGCTCAGTTCAGTACACCTGCCCAATTTTTTTTATGCAAGTCTGCAATTTAAGGAACTTGTAATTTTTTCTGCACTACTTTCTTCTCCTACCGATTCTAAAAATAATTAGTGGGATGTACCCAATATGAAAAAGCATTTTTTTGATTTTACAAATATTTCACACTGTTTTTCAATCTAGAGCATAAGTAGAGACATCATGCCAAGTTTCATGAAAATTCAACAATTAATTAAGATTTTACAGCATTTACAGTTCTATGTGTAATATCCTTAAAAAATGCTCCAATCTAGCCAAAACTGCACCCAAGTTTTGAGTCAAATTTTAGCCTATTAACACATTTATACCATTCTAATCACCTTCATATCTTTAAATACATATAGTCAAATCATAATCATGCACTTAATTGGGTCAATTTCACTTATTTTAAAAAATTTATGTATTTCCGCACAAAATATGACCACTTTTCACCCTCTAATTCCATAGTTTCTCCAGAAATGACAAAAAAATGAAGTTCACAAATACGCCGAAAGTAGTAAAATAAAAAAGTACTGATTATTTCCTGTCCATTGATGTATCATTCATGAAATTTGGACTATGAATGAAAAAGTTATAAGCCTTTATAATCCTATATAGAATCATTTGTTTCAAAGCAAGTTTTATACCAATGCAAATTTACTCATCTATGATGTCACAATGACATCATAAAAATGGATAGCTCAATACATGTGTATCATTACTTTTCCCGTACTTTTCATTTAAGACAAAATCAGTGCTTATATACTATTATCTACTTTAAAAAATAAAAATATGTGGTGTTGCAGATTAAATAAATAGTTCAATAAAGTTGTTTTGTTTCCATGGTAACCTTTTTGTAATTTGTAGGAAAATGAGACGAAATTTTGAATTTCCTGACAAATCGCATAATTTTGACTGTCAAATATTCATGAAATTTCAATTCTTATATCCGTGTAATCTGAATGATGCATAATTTACAAAACAAAGATGTAGATCTAATTAATTTGAAAATCTTAAATAAGAAAAGAAAATCTATATGAGCTGCAAAATGTATATAGCAGTGCATGTACAGATTAGTTAAAGCTAAATACTTTCACATTCTGATCACCTATTTAATATGTAAATTTCCTCACCCCCACCATCCCCCCACTTCAATGAATTTTTTTTTTACAAAACTTAAACTTACATATTTTGTCGACTGTCACATTTTGCTGGTTCTTTTTCAAGATGTATTCAAATGGGTGTGCATTTGCTGGCCAATAGTTTTAAACACCATCTGCATGCACCTCAATACATATTTTTCCTGTACCAATCACCATGAACCTAAAAAAAAAATCAATACAACAAATGGTACAACATCACATTTGCAGACAGACAGACACACAGACATTCAACACGTACAATTTTACCATATTCCTTTTATGCCCATTACTCGAAATTAATTAATTTAAAAAATGATTAATTTGCTCCCACCTGAAATCACACTGTTTACATTGGTAATTAAGTTAATTCAGCAGAATAGGTAAAAATCATGTTTTACTGACAATGATTGAACATTCAACAAATATATGTAATGCAATTGCTAAATAATCCGAGAAAAATCAGTTAATGAGCATGTTCACACACATCGTTTAACTCCCAGACAACTGTACCCAGCTTGACCGCGCAACTGATCTGAATTGAAATGATGTATGTCAAGTATGCATATGTGATGTGCCGATCATCGACATGTTCCAAAAACATTAAATTGTTATTTACAAATATTGTACTAAGGTATACCTCTTACCTCCTGTGTAAAATACAAATGCCCATCACCTATATACTGCTTAACACTGCCCTGAACAGTTTTGATAACTTTCTGCTAAGTCCACTTTCACTTCGACCTTGACCCCGATTGAATACCGATCCCGAACTCATTTGTGAAGTTTTGTGTATTGAAAATAAACCACAGTGGAGCATGTATTTCTACATAATTGCTTTTTAATCAAATTATACATTTACGATTCCGAATAAATAAATTATATAAATCAATACATTTAATCTACATGATACATGTGTAAACAATGGGTGATACATGCTGACTGTTCCGGGGGGGGGGGGGGGGGGGGGGTAGACACTTTATTTATGAATCAATTTGTTTAAAAATGTGTATCAACAATAAAAGAATTGTTTTTTTCATAAATTTGAACAATTAAAAATAATAGAAAACAACAACTTTGAAATAAATTCAAGATTTATGACATCTTTCACTTACTTATAGGCTTCCTAATATGGGTACAGTCCACTAATTGTTTTTCCATAGGCGACAATGGTAACGTTCCTTCTCATAGCGATGTCCCTAATTTTCGTTCGGTAGTGAGTGACCCCTCAAATCAAAGCACATCAACTTGTCTTTCCTTGGTTAAAATCTCGAGGTGGCATGTCAGATTCGTTTTCCGGCAAAATGCGTCTGTCTGCGGGAACCTCTAAAAATGAAAGTGAAAGTAGGGGAATTTCAGAATTCTCACTGGCGTTATAATACACAAAATAATTCGACTGATCTTCTTGATAAATTACATTTTCAAAGCTTTTTAGGTAGGAAAGATACTCCTTATCAACAAGTGTGAGGCTCAGTTCAGTACACCTGCCCAATTTTTTTTATGCAAGTCTGCAATTTAAGGAACTTGTAATTTTTTCTGCACTACTTTCTTCTCCTACCGATTCTAAAAATAATTAGTGGGATGTACCCAATATGAAAAAGCATTTTTTGGATTTTACAAATATTTCACACTGTTTTTCAATCTAGAGCATAAGTAGAGACATCATGCCAAGTTTCATGAAAATTCAACAATTAATTAAGATTTTACAGCATTTACAGTTCTATGTGTAATATCCTTAAAAAATGCTCCAATCTAGCCAAAACTGCACCCAAGTTTTGAGTCAAATATTAGCCTATTAACACATTTATACCATTCTAATCACCGTCATATCTTTAAATACATAGAGTCAAATCATAATCATGCACTTAATTGGGTCAATTTCACTTATTTTAAAAAATTTATGTATTTCCGCACAAAATATGACCACTTTTCACCCTCGAATTCCTAGTTTCTCCAGAAATGACAAAAAAATGAAGTTCACAAATACGCCGAAAGTAGTAAAATAAAAAAGTACTGATTATTTCCTGTCCATTGATGTATCATTCATGAAATTTGGACTATGAATGAAAAAGTTATAAGCCTTTATAATCCTATATAGAATCATTTGTTTCAAAGCAAGTTTTATACCAATGCAAATTTACTCATCTGGGTACAGTCCACTAATTGTTTGTCCATAGGCGACAATGGTAACGTTCCTTCTCATAGCGATGTCCCTAATTTTCGTTCGGTAGTGAGTGACCCCTCAAATCAAAGCACATCAACTTGTCTTTCCTTGGTTAAAATCTCGAGGTGGCATGTCAGATTCGTTTTCCGGCAAAATGCGTCTGTCTGCGGGAACCTCTAAAAATGAAAGTGAAAGTAGGGGAATTTCAGAATTCTCACTGGCGTTATAATACACAAAATAATTCGACTGATCTTCTTGATAAATTACATTTTCAAAGCTTTTTAGGTAGGAAAGATACTCCTTATCAACAAGTGTGAGGCTCAGTTCAGTACACCTGCCCAATTTTTTTTATGCAAGTCTGCAATTTAAGGAACTTGTAATTTTTTCTGCACTACTTTCTTCTCCTACCGATTCTAAAAATAATTAGTGGGATGTACCCAACTGTCTGAAGAGCCAACATGGCTGAAAGCGCTAACAGTAAAGATTTTATTTAATTTGGACTGCAGCATTTTGTTTTTGTTTATTTAAATATTTTTTACTGTACCAAGGATTTAACTTATCAACTTATTTTCTCCATCGTAAACTCCTTCGAAAATAAATCTTTTCTTGACTAATTTGAAAAACAACAACAATTAGTTTAGGTTAGGTGCGTTCGTTACAAGATCGCATTTATAAATATATCAATAATCATATATTTTAATGGCGAAATATGTAACACAATATTAATTGACACCTTCATCAACAAGAAAACATAACTGTACACGTATATAATAATTACATATAATGCGTTGCATAGTTTGTAGGGCGGGGATGGGATGGAAAATGTATGTCCTTGAAATCTTGTAACGAACTTCGCAATGACCAAAAACACGCCTGAAACACTATTTATAGTAAGCGCCAAATCACTCGTGCATGCAAAAATTACTATGAATAGATCGGACATTTCCGTAAAACGAAACTCAAAAACGAAAAGAAATTCATTTATTTTCTCCCTCGTAAACTCCTCCGAAAATAAATCTTTTCTTGACTAATTTGAAAAACAACAACTATTAGTTTAGGTTAGGTGCGTTCGTTACAAGATCGCAATCAAACAAAAGTGTTTAGTAATATTTTCTACAAACCCAGATTCATTGACACATAAAGCTTTTTCTGAATACTCTCTTCAATGTACACATCCTTTGCTTTATCAGTAGACCATCGACCATGAACTTTAAGAAGCCTATCGGGGACATTATTGTTGGAAGCGGCGGTACATGTAGCACCCCCCCCTCCGCAAACTATGCAACGAATACTTAGAACTATCAAGGCCAATACTGCTTAATGCAGATAACAAAATTTCTCTTGCTTTAGTGTAAGACAAAGGTTTTGACGTATTACAAGACTTGTACACCCCTAAAGATTTCATAAAATTTATACGTGTAAACAGATAATCACTTGAAGTAATGTTCAGCTGTAATTAAACAATATTCTTGTTTAACCAAGAAATCGGACACAAATCATTCCCAGTTTTTGCAATGACAATTATGTTCCCTCTTCTATACACATCAGTTTTACTTTTTGATCTTTATTTCTATGTACGCATCTTTCCATTTGATGTCACACAAACGAATATTTGACAATTCACTATAACGTAGAAAGCCAGAGAATCCCAATAGGCACATGAGAAATGTTCGTAACTTCAAAGCATTTTCCGGTTCCTTAAAATAATCATCCTTGAGTTTTGTTAGAATTTCCGTGGTAATTGGTTCTTTCTTAATCACCGGTTTTGAGAGAATTCTTTCCTGCCTTCAATAATAAGCTTTAGAAATTGATTTTCACATGGATTTTC